ATTACACCTTCTAGTCAGCTCTGGATCAGCGGAGTGGTATGAAGATAGTTCGTTCACGATTAGTTGTTTATACTCGGTGACTTCTGTTTAATAATCAGTTACAGTTATTTACTGTAGCTGGATTTATTATCATATATGATTTAGCTTTGTGCATTTTATTTAGGCTGGCTTTTGACGTAACTCTACCCTGCCTAATCTTGGCATACGTGGTGGTCGCCGGCCTGTGCACCAGGACGTTAAGCGAATCAGTGCATATTTGCAGCGGCAACGGCCCGTGCAGGTGTAAAAATGGCGTTGCCAACTGTGACGACGAACAACTACAGACAGCCAACCTGACGGTCGACAAGGGAACGGTCATATCGCAGTTGAACATCAGAAACAATATGATTCAAAGCTTGAGGAAAGGCGCCATTCTGCCAGGTCAGGAGAGGTATCTGCAAGTGCTGGACTTTCGACAGAACTTCATCAAAGACGTTGGAAATCAGGCGTTCATGGGAATGACAAGTTTGCGGGACCTGCTGCTTCCGCAGAACAAGATCAGCGTTCTCCGACAAGGCATGTTCGATAACCTTGACTACAGTCTGGTCAACCTGGACCTGAGTAACAATTTACTGAGAACTTTCAGTGGTCCCGTGTTTTCCGGTCTCTCCGTACTGCATTATCTGAACCTGAACGACAACCCGATCGCGTCTTTTGACAACGAGACGTTTGAAGGTCTGTACGAGCTGGTCGAGCTGACGGTGGACAACGCCCTGCTGACCACCATAGACGAAAACGCGTTTCTGAGTCTACGCAAGGTTCAGGTTCTGTCGTTCCGTAACAACCACTTCGAAACAGTTCCGGTGTTTCGCGGACTGTCCAGTCTCCAGAAATTGGACCTCAGCGAAAACCCGATCCACGTGGTGCCGAGTCACGCGTTCAAGTGGGTCCCGAACATTCAGTACCTCAATCTGAAGTTCATGCCTCATTTGGAGCGAGTTCAGGACTGCGCGTTCTGCGGTCTACACGGCCTGAAGCAGCTGATAATGTACGGTTGTGCGAGGCTGACTTCCATTGATACTTTTGCTTTCGGACCTTCGCAGTACTTCAAGGAAGATATCCTAGTCGTCGACTTGTCCAACAACAGCCTTTCGACGTTGGACATGCATCTGCTTCCGTGGAAAAACGTTTCGTCGATAAAACTGTTCGACAACCCGTGGACATGCGATTGCAACTTACGATGGATGCGCGATCCGGATCTGAAATTTCAAGGAAAATCGCTTGTGTAAGCGCGAATACATATTTTATATACTATAGATACGCGTAATGATAAGGCATTTATTAATTAGCGAAGATCGATAAAATATGGAAATGTTTCATAGTTAAACAAGAACCTCTGAACCTCATTTCACTTCTGTGTCTGTTTCTTCAATGACTTGCCACTTGAGTGATTTTGGATACAAGGACACGGACAGACGACAGTCGCTGTTTTAGCTGCCTAAATTTCAGCAAAACTATACCAAGCAGCTGCTACAGTTTCTCCTTCTCACGATTTACCCTTGGGATGGCTGTTGTCGTTTCTGTCAAGTAATTTTAAAGATTACTAGCTCTAGCGTTTCCTCCGCCTCGAACCATCGAAGTGAAAATGTATTTCAAGACATCTTTCACTTTAATACCTTCAAATCTATGTCCATATGCATTGTATACAACACTCTTTCCTTATTCTAGTGTATCAGCTGTGAATCATCACAGATTTGAG